CGGGGCGGAGCGGCCCGCTTTCAACCCCGCGCACCCTCCGACCCCGGAAGCGCTAACCGCCCGGGGGCCGGCGAGGCGACTGCGTCGTCCAAACCTTCCCCACGCAACATGGGAAGGCCTCCCAATATCCTAGAGCGGCTCCGTGGACAGCGTCAGCACCAGAGAGACAACAGCTGATAGTACATGGCGAAGTCTATGATAGAGCGGCAGCATAGGGGCAAGGAGGAAACTAGTGTAGTGGCCTCTAGTGGCCTAACTGGAAAGTCCAGGCGTAAATGCGGAGAATTGACAGTGGACGTGGATAAAGGGAAAAAGAGATGGCTGAGGACATCCATCCAAGATGAAAAGAATTGGGGAAAACTCGGTAATCTAGAATAACACTCAAAAACAGAAAGAGAAAAAAACGAATTTGCCACATTGGAGGTAACTTTTACACCACCTCCTTATTCTGAAAATTGCTAACTGAAAGGGAAGATTTAAGCATTTACCCTCTCTTCTTAGAAAGAACTGTAGCCCTAGCCGGTTTGGCTCAGTAGATAGAGCGTTGGCCTGCGGATTGAAGGGTCCCAGGTTTGATTCCAGTCAAAGGCACATGCCCAGGTTGCCAGCTCAATCCCCAGTAGGGGTTGTGCAGGAGGCAGCCAATCTGTGATTCTCTCTCATTGATGTTTCTATCACTCTCTCCCTCCCTTTCTGAAATCAATAAAAAATAATTATTTTTTTTAAAACTGCAATTCATTCTTAGTCAATAATGGAAAACTTTTTAAAAAGACATCTACCTAATAAATGTAGAAGAAATAAAAGGCTTAGAAAATCACCATTCATTCTGCAACCCAAAATGAAATAATTGATTCAGGCAAGTGTTATAAATCACCAAAACTTTAAGCAAAATGTTGTTAGGGAACAAGATATTATCTGGTGCCAAATATCACCACACAAATTGTTTGCAAATCGTACAGGGGGAAAAAAAAAAGATAACTTAAAATGGAGTGACCTGCCTAGCCAGTGTGGCTCAGTGGTTGAGCATTGACCCATGAACCAGGTCATGGGTTCCATTCCTAGTCAGGGGTGTACAAGAGGCAGCCAATCAATGATTCTCTCTCATCGTTGATGTTTCTATCCCTCTCTCCAAAATCAATAAAACATTTTTTAAAAAAGAATGAACTGATAGTCAACATCTTACCCAAGTGATCAACATTGCATCACTTATAATAGGACAATTTTGACATTATTTCGTCTATTAAGTATTTTTCTCAAAGTGTTTAATCTTAATCTCATCAAGCCTTTAGACCTAACTTACAGTTTATAGGATATTTACATGGGCTAAAGAAACAGGTTAAACATATCACACTATAAAGAGGTAACCAGCCAATCCAGAATGCTGGTTTCTTCAAAAAGGCATTACAATAGAACAAAGGAGGAGCAAAAGGAGGGGAGAAGAATGAAAAATTTAAAAGGCAATAATAATCTAATGTAATGTATAGTCTTGTTTGGATTCTGGTTTTTAAAAAATCCCTATCTAGGATATTTTGGAGACAATTGAGGAAATTCAAACATGAACTGAATATTTGCTAATATAAGGAAGTATTGTTAACTTTCTTAAGTGCAATAATGGAATTTTGGTTATGTAGGAGAAATACTATTTAAGAGGTGCATGATGAAATATTTAAGGGTGAAGAGTCATGATGGATGCAACAGATTTTCAAGTGCTTCACATAGTATATCCATAAAGAAAATATGGTAAAATGTTAGCAATTGTTGAGTGTAGGTGGTAGGTTTATGGGTGATCATTGTACTGTTTAAACTTTTTTATATTTTCTTTATTTATTTCAGAGAAGGGAGAGGGAGAGCTAGAAACATCAATCATGAGAGAGAATCATTTATTGGCTGCCTCCTGCATGCCCCACCTGAGGATTGGGCCCACAACCCAGGCATGTACCCTGACCAGGAATCGAACTGTGACCTCCTGGTTCATAGGTTGATGCTCTACCACTGAGACATGCTGGCCAGGCTGTTTAAACTTTTAAAAAATAATTTTCATTGATAAAAATTGGGAAAAATATGATGTGGAATGGAACAAGATTGGCTAAACATTGATAATTACTGAAGGGAAATTATATATAGGAGTCCATTAAACTGCTTTCTCTACCCTTGTAAATTTCCACATTAAAACTTTTTTTTAGCCCTAGCTGGTTTGGTTCAGTGAACAGAGTGTCGGCCTGCAGAATCAGGGGTTCCGGGTTCGATTCACATGCCCGGGTTTCAGGCTCGATCCCCAGTGGGGGGCGTGTAGGAGGCAGCCGATCAATGATTCTCTCTCATCACTGATGTTTCTATCTCTCTCTCTCCCTCTCCCTTCCTCTCTGAAATGAATAAAAATATATTTTCAAAAAACAAAAAACTTTGTTTAAAAAAACAGGAGCCCTGAAAGGAAATAAGACAAAATAAGGAGAAACGAAAGAGACATCACATACAAGGTTATTATTGAACCTTGTTCAATTCCTTTGGGTGTTGGTTCTAGCCTTAATATTAGTCAAGTTTTATTGGGCAACCCCAATTCAGTAGAGTCATCTGAAAAGGGATAGTTTCCTGAAATGGAAATAAGGCTTGGGGACGCCAGTGCCTTTCCTCCCACCCACTCCACTACCACCCCCCCACCCCCAAATGAGGGAGTGGACATTAGGATCAAAGTGAAATAGAATTAAAGAAGTCTAAAAGAAAAACAGAGCAATAAAAAAAGTTTTTTTGGCAAAGGTGCCAGCAGACCCTGAACGACGGATGAATGATTACTCCAAGACAACAGTTGCTGTGAAAAAGAGGGCTAAGGGACGGCCTGGCTAAAGGAACCAGGCAGCCTCGATTGCCTGCCTTGTTAGGCTTTTATTGCAGTTTGATATAAAGTTTATCTTTTAGATACAATCAGTAGGGTGAGTAATCTTGGGAAGACACATGTGTTTGCATTGTCCTCTAGGCAAGGGCACCCAAAGATTGGGCATAAGGATTCCAGTAAACACCTGGGGATCTGCACGTGCACAGACTTGTTTGGAAAGGTCAAGGAATAATTAGGGGTGCCGCTTTCAACACTCCCCTAAGTCGGATTTCCAATAAACAGAGCAGGCGGCTTTCCGCACACTTCCCTTTTCTCAGAATGTCCTCCTTACAAACTTTCCAACCAAATCTCATGCTCCCCCACACCTCCCCCTTTTTTGTTTTGCCGGGTATAGAAGACAGAGGGCTGCGGTGAACTTGACGCCTGGGAATGTTGGGTTCTACGAGGCTTGTTCACTGTTGAGTTCTGATTCTATAGACTATAAGAAAAACAAAAAGAATTACAATGAAGGCAACAGTTAGTCCGATCAGGTGCCAATTGATTCCAGGAAACCATGTGGTAGGGTCTATCCAGTTTAAGTGCTCCTTTACTGCATTCCAAGCAGTAGTATGTTGTTTGTGCTCATTAATAGCAAGTAGGGAGTCTTTGATTTGTTTTTGTAAAGCATTCACTTCTTCAGTAAGATTGTCATGAAATACTCCCCACAAATGCTCTTAATGTCAACCTACTGATGGTGACTGCTGTTCCATTTTAAGGGGGTGACACATATGTGCTTATGTCCCCAATTCAATTAAGTATTTGTCTGTATGCTAAGGTGTCCTGTCTTTTCCCCAAATATTCAATGGCTGCTTCTACAGCTTGTAACCTAGCCAAAATTTTTTTACCTATGTGCTGCTGCAAAGTAAATTCTTTAGTTACATTCTTGGCCATACTGTCTACAAATGTGGCAGTCTACACAGACTCAGAAAGGCCCACCACAGCTACGCTGGCAGTAGTAAGAATAACAATAGCCAAGATAATGGCTGTTATGAGCATCCCCAAAAATCTTTTAGGCCTCAAATGACTTAATGCTTTCTAAAATTTCAATGGATGATGAACCTTGCCACTCCCTAGTAAGGTTAATGGGTATTAAGACCTCAGCCTGTCTCCTCAATATTATAATGGTGTTTATATTCAATGAGGTGACATTTTGATTGGTAATACAGGATGAATAGTCGGCCCTTTCTCCTACCTGTATTAGAAAAGAATTATTGTTAAGTAATTTGTAAGCTGGGACCCATGAGAAATACATAAGGATGTATGGTACATACCAAACTACTATCTGAATGATATTTTGAAAAGGTCCTAGTATAATTATTGGACTTCTGTTGATAATCCCCATCCCATAAGTTCAGTGGATGGAAAACACGTCCTAATCTTCATAAGGTTTCCTGAACCGGAAAATCTTGTAGTTGAGGGCGAGGGGAACCAAACCTCCTCCTTTCCATGCAAGGGGGGATTCTAGCTGACCCCACAAAAGTGCCATTGGAGGTACGGTTGGACTAAACTATTAGTATGATTAGCTTGCAGGCGGCCATGTGGGCCCCAGTCTACAATCCGATGGTCTCCCAGCTGATAATAATGAGCCCGTTCCCCTCGGCAGACTTCCCAATGTAAGGCCTCCAGGGAGGGATCCCACTTCTTATTTTGCTTACATGGAGGCAGTGGTGGAGCTGTAGCACAGGTATGCCTGCCCTTGGCTAGACTTCCTGCTGAGAGGAAGATAAACTGGGCCCTTGCTTGTCCTTCCTTGGGGATAGTATGTAACCAGATCTGATTATGAGCCTTTAAACAATATTGGGGTTTAGAGGAAGTAGTAACACAAAGGGGTAAGAGGTTAGAGTGGAAGGTAGTATTAGGGGGCACTGGGGTCCAATGTGTCCCATTTTCAAGACTGCCTATAGGTGGCAAGTCCACGCCTCCTAGGAAGGAGGTCAAATTGTTAGAGACAGGGAAAGGGGTGTCTCCCCAGTGAGGGACCTAAAGAAAGGTGGGTCTATAACATGGACCCAATACATGGTGGCTGATGCTGGTGCAAAGCCAAATAAGAATACTAAACCATACCGCACAAGAGCTGAGATGAATCAAAGCAGTCATAGCAAGAAAGAGGTTATCTGGCGTGAGTGGAAAGGAAGTACGCTGCAACAGTTCCTCAGCCTCTTTCATCAGCTTCTTTATCATTCCCCAGGTTATTTCGGGGACCGTCCGGGTCCGGCGAATGCGCAACGTTCGGTTCTGTGGAGTCCCCGAGCCAGAATTCTTCGTTTCTGGAAGAGTATTGGCCCCGTGCAATGCCACGGCAGGGTTTGATCCAGCGTGCTGTAATCCACAGCAGCCCTGTGGGGGTAGAAATACACGCATATCCCTCCCCATGTTAATAATTCATTGGATCCCATTCAGTTATTAGTGTCCACATCTCGCCACAAGACTTGTGGTTTCTAAGGTGGGGTTATTGAGGGTTAAAAATGATTATTCAGATTCAAAAAAATTAAAGGTAAGGACTGCTTTAGATAGTAGTATAGCAGGATCCTTGAGTCCCATATTCCCTCTTTATTGTTTTACTAGCATAACCTTCAGGGTAGCATGGGCACGTTCAATGATGGCCTGCCCTTGTGGACTGTAAGGAATTCCTGTAGAATGCTGGATGGACCAAGTTCTGCAAAAAGCAGTGAAGCCCTGGCTGCTATAAGCAGGCCCATTATCTTGGTTAATATAGCTACAATTGGAAACAGGTCTTATTGAATTCATGCAAAGAAATGTATTGCCACTTATTAAGAATTGCCAAATACTGGAGGGACAGGTAGGGCTTAAAATGCAAATCTGGAAGGATTGTCAAATTTATTTTGCCAAAAAAATCATATTTCAAAGTGTATTAGACACAAACATAGGCTAGCAAACTTCAATTACCATGGTTAATAGATGGCCTTTAAAAAAAATTTACCTGATTAATATAACATATAACAATTTCAATAATTTATAGAACTTTTGCTTCCTGGGTAAAAAAAAAAAACAAGACAGATCTTTTTCCTTTTAACAGACTAGAAAAGGACTCTCCAAAATAAGGTTTATTTTCTAATTTCATTTGTCCTTGGGTGAGGTCAGCAAATGACACTAATTGGATTTCTGCTACCTGTATCCCTGAGTATATTGATATAAGCTATTTACCCTCTGGTTAGGGAGGCAAAATGCAAATCATTTACTCTTAAGTGTCCTTGGTTTAGGGAAGGTAGGATTTACTAGATGGCTCCAAATTGCTGTTTAACCATTTCAATTTCCCTATTCTACTTGTCCTGGCTTACTGGTCTGTGTTATTTATAATTTCCTTTCAACATTTCTCTTTATAAACAGTCTACTTTCACAAACCTTTCTACAACTTCCACAAACCTTTCTTCAGAACCTTACAACTTTCAGAAATAACCAGCTCTAGAAACCACTTTCTTTCTCCTTCAAAATGCATCTCCATGCCTCATCCTTCTATTACACCAAAAACATACCTTCTTTCCAATTAGTTAGAATTCTTAACCCTTAAAAAACTTCATTTTTAGGTGACATATAAGTAATTAACATTCCACAGATTAGCAATACATTCACATTTTAATAGATATTTCAAATAAAAAACAACTTAACAGATTCAAATCCATCCTCTAGATTCTCCATACGAAGCAAATTCAGATTGATTAATATTTCAAAATACCTCGATATTTAATAATTTTTACTATTTAATCCAGCAAACTCCAAAGTTTTGAGTTACCAAACACTTTGGAAAACTATGTTTAGGCATATATAATTACCACTGAAAAAGCTTTATCATATACCCTTCATTTCAGTTATATTTATTTTACCTTAACAACTTTGAGATTTTAAAGCCAATTATTATAAGCCAAGGCATTTTCTTGGCAAATTTTGTAACAGGGGTAACTCAGTGGCTTTAATGTTAAAGTATTAATTTTTTTTTAAAAAAAAATGGGAGTGGCTCCCAAACTGCTATTTCTGCAGCCTGCTGGAGGGCACTTCTACAGATCTAATTATCTTAGGAAAAAGACTTGGGGGGTTTAAATGATTATTTCCCATACTTTTTCTCTCTGAGTAGACTAACAACATGAAATCTTACATATAAGAAGAGATCTTAAAAACAGAAACAAAACAAAAAAACACCCTATAGTAAATAGATGAGTACTCATAAAAGGGTGGATTGGGACATTAGCCTTAGAATCTTCAAACTAAGTCCCTCAAAGATAAGAAAGCAAGCAAAGAACATCAATCAGTAACCAAGTTACATTAAAGATAGACAAGAACTTCTACTAAGAGTTTCTAGTGGCTGATGCCTTGAGAGGGAGAGCAAGAAGGATCCCCAAGATTAAGAATTCTTGGCAGCTGCTGGGAAGTTCCTGCAATCCCTGCCATGTGTTCAGCCTGCCACAAGTAGCTGGGGCCCCTAGCAAAGTGAAATATGCCCCATCTTTAAACAAATTAAACCAAACAACAAAGACACATAAAGCAACAATCAACAGATGCTCATATATGATATTTACAAGCGTGCATAACACACAGACAAGACTTAATAAGTTAGAGTTCTTTTCATAGATCTTTCAGAAGATATTTTAAAGTACCTGGGACTCACAGCCTGAATGGGGCCCAGAGGGCTCCCAGGTGAGGTCGCCAGTGAACACCCATAAGCAGCCTGTTGTTCACAGATCTCATCATATTCTGTTCTCTATCATAAATACTGACTGGCATCCAGAGTTGTTTTAGCCAAATCTGCCAGTCCCAAGGTGTCTATGGTAATTTTCTGACAAGGCATTAAGGAGTCCTTTTGTAAATGGACTGCTAGCCTCATTTTCTCTAATACTTTTCCTTATTTCTTTAAAGGTATTAAAGAAGAGTGGTTCATGTATCTGATTACCTTGCTGATCTTGCATAACTGGGCAAGCCAAAAGCTCTCCTTCTAACATAGCTTGCCTGACACATGATCCCTTAACTGAGGATCTAGTTGATGAGCCTTCCCACACCGGAGGTGGAGGATTGGGGGCCTTAGGTATTACAGGCTTGACAGGCTCTACTTCAGGAGGAGGGGGCAGTGATAAATCCTCCTGGCGTTCTGTAGGCTTTTGATCCTCAATATGAAGTGGGCATAGTGCAGCTCGAACAAGAGCCCACATAGTTAAAGATAACAAGGGCACTCGTTTTCCCTGGGCCTGATTTCTCTTTAAATTCCTACCTACTTGTTCCCAGAGATCAAGGTCTAATGTTCCAGCATTAGGGAAACAAGGACTATAAATTATAACAATTTGCAACAGGCTCTTTAATTGTTCTTCTATAAATGAGGCACCATTTGCTTTTAATTACTTTTTAAATTTTTTGTATGTGATGAAATTTTCACTTCTACCTTTTTTTTAAATAACTTTTTAAGTAACAAAGAGATCTGTTATTCGGTGGACAGTTGCTGTCCTATTGTGAAACCTTAGCTGAAAAACATTTCCCTCAAACTTAGATATCCCAAGTGGGTTCCAATGACTTACTGCGCAGTTACTTTCGTTTCCTTCCTCTTTGTTTTCAAGGGTTCCGCATGTCTCGTTGCATTCCTTCGTCTTCACACCGGGTACCACATTGCCAGGGCTGGTCAGCAGACCCTGAACGACGGATGAATGATTACTCCGACACAACAGTTGCTGTGAAAAAGAAGGCTAAGGGACAGCCTGGCTAAAGGAACCAGGCAGCTTCGATTGCCTGCCTCGTTAGGATTTTATTGCAGTTTGATATAGAGTTTATCTTTAGATACAATCAGTAGGGTGAGTAATCTTGGAAGGACACATGTTTGCAATGTCCTCTAGGCAAGGGCACCCGAATATTAGGCATAAGGATTCCAGTAAACGCCCGGGGGTCTGCACATGCACAGACTTGTTTGGAAAGTCAAGGAAAAATTAGGGGCGCCGCCTTCGACACTCCCCTGTCGGAATTCCGATAAACAGGGTAGGTAGCCTTCCACATACTTCCCTTTTCTCAGAATGTCCTCCTTACAAACTTTCCAAGTCTCATGCTTCCCCACACAAAGGCAAGAGGCAGACCAAATATTGAAAGAGAGGAAACAAATTAGAACAATGTTAAGACACCCAGAAAAAGACAAAATACGGAGCAGGCTTACTATGAAGCCTGGGCTAAAGGTCAGATTAATCTCAAGACTTTACAATTGGGTCATTTATAACCCAGGGGTTCTGAGAGCCAGTGTGACAGGGAGTGGCTAGCCGTCAAATTCTAATGTACAGGACAAAACAGATAAGATTAAAAATTGATAAAATGATATCATCCTCTAACAGTAACATGGCTACTATTGGGGCTGGCCTACAATTGTAACCAGCTTTGAAAGAGAAAGATGGGATGCACCTAATCGTAATAGCTAATAATTTCATGAATCACCAAATTCTTCTCAGAAAAGGAACCAAGTTAGTCAAGGTAATGAACTTGCCTTAGGGCCACAAAGCAACCTGATATAGGGAGAGGATTCCAAAGGCAGCAAACTAAAGATTCATCCCAAAGCTGAAGTGTCAATTTTTATTTTAGATCTCAAGGATTTCCTATCCTTTCCCATTCTCAAATGTGTGAAATCTTGCTATTGCTTCTAGTAAGAGAAGAATGGCATGGACACAGGGTAGTAAGGGCATACAATAAAAACATTTGAGAACTATCATCTTGAGAGTCTTAAACTGATGTACAAAACAGAGGGCACAAACCAAATGCTCTCAGGAGCCAGCCAAGTAATGTAATTGGGAGAAGCTGGCCTAAAAAATAAAAAGGTAACAAGAAGTTGAAAAGGCAATGAGAAGACTGGAAAGTACAAGACCTATCTATAAGGAATGACCACTACTCAGGGCCATATTTCTGTCTTTAGAAATGTGGGCCCAGCTCCCTCGGGCGGAGTGTCCCTGCCAGCTCGCTCCTGGCTCGCCCGTCCCCCGAACGCTCCCCCCCTCATGCGCACCCTCGCCCTCCCACATTTGTGCGCCGGGCATTTCCACCGCCGAGCAGCGACCCGAGCCACGTCAGCAGTTGAGGAGCTCCCATGGCAGGGATGAGGCAGGGGGAGGCGAACGGGAGTGAGGCGATAAGC